TTGGCCGAGCTGGCTCACAGAAGGTGCAGCAGGCACAGATGGCACTAATGCATAAATGTGATCTAGTGAAGGGATGCCAGCACCAACCCCCCACAGGTTCCAAGGAACTGCAGTGCACTTAGAGGGATACGGGGATTGGCAAGGTGAAAGCTGAGATTTGCAAGAGCTCAGTGTTCCCAAATCAACAACAGAACCCTACAGCAAACGCGCAGATTTCTTTATTAATTTAGCAAATGCACTTAATGCCACCATCTCTGGGTTTATGTGTAACAAAGCCCCTCCAAAGCCCTCACTCATTATACAAATTAAACTGAGTGAAGGAAAAAAGGGAAAAAGGCAAAGGTGGGAACTGAAAACCAGAACGAACTCAGCAGTCTGCTCTGATTCCCATGTTTTTTGGGAGAGCTTCTGAGAGGAAACATGGCACAGAGGGGATGGGAGTCAGGGGATCTGAACAGGATCCGGCAGCAATGGAGTAAATTCCATAAATACCGTGTCCCTCCTCAGCACTTGGAGCACACAAACACCCCACCAAATCCCTTTTCCCCATAGTCACTGGTAATGGACATTTAGGAAAAGTGCACAGGGAAGGGAGTGAACTCAGCCTGACTATGCTTCCACAGGACACCTTTCCTGACTACTGGAGAACAGGGACATCTCCATAGGCAGATCTATAGCAGTGACCTCTAATGAGGAAAAAACATCTCAGGGAATGCAGCATCCACTCCCAGGCCCCATTCCCAAGGCAGGAAGAGAGGATAACCCAGCATACCCATGCTCGGGGCTCTCAGCACTGTGTGTGACAGGCCAGCCTGGCGGGCCAGGACCAAGTGCCTGACAGACTGCACCCTGTCACTGCGCACTCCAGGGATCCTTCACAGCTGGGTGACAGTGGCATCTAGAGGGCTGCCACGTGCAGTGTGCGTGCAGAACGAAGGTCCTGCTGGGCTCTCCCTTCCCATCTGCAGAGCCAGAGCCAGCCCCAGCCAAGTGGGCACCACCTCTGGAGCTGCACCCTTCTGCCTCAGCCTTGCTAGACTTCCTCCTAAGAGGCCCCACTTAAACCCTGCCTACTGCTTCAAACAGATTGACATCTTCCCACAGAATTTCTGGAGTGGATTTTTTGGTTATAGTAATTGTATGATAACTAGCTTAAAATGATTTCCATAGTGTCCTAAATACCACAGAACTGGGCTGCCTTCTCTCTTTACAAGCAATTGCCACATGCCAGTCAGATGCTGTATAATCCATGGGCCAGGATCCGAATGCTGTGCCATTGCTCTGTTACGGGCTCAGAACACGTGCCTGGAGGACTAACACACCTAAAGCCATAGAGCACCTGGATCTTTAATCTCTGAGCCACCTGAAGAGGAGAGTCTCCTCAGAAAGGCCCAAGTTAGAGAGTTGATCAAGGACACTGGGAAGTATTCCTAAAGGAAAAGGATTTTAGGAGTGGCCTGAGCTGAGGTCATGATAGAGCAGAAGTGGAGTTTAAAGAGAATGGGTGTTCTGACAGTTCTGTTTTATCTGTTGCTACACCTGATTTCAGTGAAGGATAAATTGCTTTCTTCTCACAGTGGTTGCACAGAGGGGAGGAGGAAAGAATAATGCAAACTTGTGCTTTAGAGGTACCACCCCTAGGAACTCCATATTCCTGGTGTTCTTTCTCCTCATAGATAAAAAAGGCCCCAAAGCACTAGGATTTGCTAATTTATGGTTTTACCAGGCCAGTTCTTGATTCTATGAGACTTAAAGTGTGATGCGTCTGTAGTAGCAGATTATCTTTCTCTTCTTCCTAAAAAAGATGTACAGAACTCAGGAAGTTGTTTAGGATACTGACATGAGCAAACTGGCACTAGAGATCAGGCCTGGTGTCAGTCTGTCTAGAAACCCCCCGCATAACATAAATGGGATCCCCATTCACAGCAGGGATTTGTCCCAGAAGATTTAGGAAGAGCTCAAAGAGCTGAGACACGTCTCAGAGAAAACCTCTCCCCTGTTCTTCCCTACACGCTGCAGTGCTGCACGTGTGGCTCTTGGAGCTTCACCTGGAAGCATGAATCACAATCCGACCCCTCAGTGTCCCATAGGAGGAGAGGGAGCTGTCCCAGGGACAGCGCTGCATGTCACTGTGGAAATGGCAGGAGCTGTGTCCTGGTTTTGGCAGCACGTGGGTGAGCGGCTGAGTGTCAGCGCCGGGCAAGGTGTGCGCTGGGCCGGCGCCAGGACACAGAGCACCTTCCCTCGGGCGGTGCAATGGCCTCGCTCTGCCTTCCAAGGACTAAGGAGAGCTGAAGGAGAAGAGCCCTCCATTGGCAGGCACCTGCAATGGAGCGGAGAACACGCCCTTCAGGAAAGGGTCAGACCCTGCCAGGGCAGGGGGTACTTCAGGGAGGCAGCAGTGCTGGGAGCAAGGGAGGCTCACTGCCGAAGGTCAGGGAGAGTGAGCTGGGCTCTCGCTCCAAAGGATCCGTGCTGGAAAAACAGGGACTCTGCAGGCCATTCCTACATCCTTTCCCTTTGCATAAGCAGTGCTCGCCTTGCATGAGGAAAACAACAAACTCCTGCCCTCTAGAGACAGGAGACCTCCAGCTCTGCTGAATAAAATATTTGCCACAACCTCTTTTTGAAGCAGATGCTACAAACGCAGCCGGTTTTATCCTCCCCCAAGGCCCACGGGCCGGCTCAGCAGCTCAGCACTCCCTCCTCCCAGCCCTGGAGGGCCAGCTCGTGGGAGAGGCAGCTTGTCACAACCACTCTCGGTCAAGGCAGGAGTTTATCTGGACAACTGAATACAGCAGTCATGGAAAACTTGGCAAAGGAGAGAAATCCCTCCCTTTTCTCACTACCCAAACCCATGGGGCAGGATGGCCAGTGCTCAGGCCAGCTCAGTCTCTACTCCTGCCCACAGCCCTGTGCCACCTTCATTCCGCCTTGTCCACGGCAGACAGCGGAGTGCAGGTGGCTCTCGCTGGGTGCCACAGAATGCACAGAGTTGCAGAGCCCAGGTTCCACAGGGATACACTCCTGACATGCACTGCCAAGATGGAGTAACTGTGCTGACTTGTCCATATGCCCAGTTCCCCAGTAAGTGCTACTCATGGGTGAGAAGCTGCTCTAATGGCATTTCCTCAAAGTTACCAGCGCATTAAAGACACCCTTAGCTCCCAGGGCAGCAGCACTGTGTGCAGTTCCATCCGTGCAGCAAGTGTGGGCATGAGCCACCCCACATGCCAACAGCAGCATTTCACACATAAACATGCCCTGCCCTCCTCAGTGTGCACTCCAAATGCACGTTTAAATCACAGGCACTGAAAAATAAAATTCTTCCAGCCTACCATCTTTAAACTGCCTCTTTGGAACCTTTCCCTGGCAGGTTTGGTTTGCTGGCCTGTGCTCCGAAATACAGCATTTATCAGGTGCGAAACATAGAAACGACTTTTTAGAACAGCTTAGTCCTGTCTTCCTGCCCTTTTTTTCTCTCAGCTAAAGCAGGTCCAAGGGGTGGAAGGTGGCTGTGGGGTACTTGTAATGATGCAGCCTTTTTTGGGTTCCCTTGTGAAACCAGTTCCTGAACCCCAGACCCTGTGACCTTTGGAAACTGTGGGATTGCTGGGAAAGATCATGATGTTCATGCACACATGCTAAGGAGGCTACATTACATTAATCTGAGGAAAATACACAAAGTTACATCCCTTTCCTCTGAGGCTGTTGGCAGAATTTGTTAAAGTGAAAAAACAAATTCTTGCTAGGGCCCAAATAGCACCATTCATTTGTCATTTGTTTCTTTTCATGATGTTGTTGTTACTTTAGGAGACCTTTGAGCTCACCCTGTGGTGTTCTCGGAGCTCCCCTCAGCTCTGTCACAGGTGTTTCAGCCAGCAATTCATGAATTCTGGGAAAAAGCTGCCTCAAGGAGCCCTGGGAACGAATCCTGGTGCCTGCAGCAGTAACACCAGTTGAGGAGCACTCCTCTGAGGAATTATTGCTGATGAATTGTGTGACAAACAATCCACCAAGCAGCAGGTTGTGCTGTGAGGATGGGGCAACGGGACTGACACAGAGTTCAATACTTGTCTTGGGAGGGACATTATTCTGAAGCCCTCTCCTTGCTCGTGGCTCTGCAGGCACTGATCACAGAATATAGGACCAATGCCAAATCCCAAAAGGGCGTGTGCTCCTCATGGGACACTGCAGCTGAGGTAGGAGCACACGAGTCTCAGCAACGGGCGGTGGGGATCTCAGTCCTCCAAGGCCAGGAGAAGCCAAGCTTTTAGGACACTGGGTATCACATGGGGCAACAGCTGTTGTGGCAGGACAGCACTGCCAGGTGCTCCTCTGGGAAAAGCAGTTGTTCTTAGTCCTGAGCCAGATGCTGAACACATCAGCAATGCCATCCATGGAAACTTTTCCCATGGATACAACTGCCCAGCGTGCTAAGGGAAACAAGCAAGGACAAGCACCTGAGACCAGGCAGAGCACCTCAGCCTGCAGGCTCAGTGTGGTCACATCCCACCCCAGATCCAGTCTGTTTCACCTGCCCATTCTGAATTCCTGATGAACACTGGAAGGGCTCCAAAGGAGCCTACACAGTGTTTTCCTGCCCCTTCTGGAGCCCAGAATTCCGCTGGGATGGTGGGACAGCACCATGTGTCTGCTCCCACACGCACAGACACCCCAAAGTGCTCGTCACACCTGGCTCACAACTGTCAATGGCTAAGTCCACGCCCAGGGTTGGATACTGTCCTGAAGTGATCTCTCCTCCCCCCTTGTCCCCCAGCACTGTTCACAGAGCCTTACAGGTTTGGAGAGGGACATGAGAGGGGAGAGCTGGTCTGGCAGGCCCCTCCTGGTGCCTTGTTTTGTGCATTGCCAGGTGAGGTGCTAACCTGGGGTTTGGTGTGAGCACCCACTCGCTGAGATCCCTTTCCCTGTGAGAATTTCCACCTTGCCCTGTAACTTAGATTCAGTAAGAAATTCAACAACTAAAGAAATGGCTGTGATGTAATAGAAAATAATTCATTCTCAGGTAAACCCCCTTGCCATAGATCTTTTTCCTGGTTTTTGTTGCTGTTCAAGACCTGCTACATTCTTCCTCTGCAGTACATCTGTGCATCTGTGAGCATGAAGGGTGAGGTTTTTCCTATTGGATCTGGTACATGGAGACAGATCTTATATTCCCTGCAAAGATCACAGAATGCATAACTCATTTTTTAATTACTCTCGTGCTAAACCTCTAATTTAGTGCAATTTCATACGGACTACATGTTGGTATTGTTAAGGTTTATGAGCCAGTGATTTACAAGGCATGGTACGTCAGAACTCAAATTGGTTGGATTGATGATTTAATTGAGCACAGGGACGCGAGTGTAACAGTAACTTCCCCACATTGGGGGTGTCCTGGTAATGCCACCAGGATGAGAATGCGTTGGTGACATGGGTTACATGGAACACACATGTTTTAATTGGGATGTCCAAAACCAGACTGGTGAGACTAATGTTTAGTAAATACTGCTTCTACTTAAGTAAATAGTTCTTTCTGTAAAGGTCAGATTAATCAGAAGAACAATTTAATAATCTGTTTCTAAAAGCTGGTCTCAATGATGACACAGATACCGCTGCATGGGAGATTTTGGATGCCTTTTGAGGAAGGCCTTGCATGAGTCCGCAGCATTTTGTCCACACCACTTTGCAGGAGACAGTGCTGTTGGTCACATCACTGAGTTTCTAGTAATGAAAACCTGCAGCTAATATTGATCTGAAGTGATAAACCCCTAACAAGTGAACATCAACCTTTTCTTTTCTGCCTGCCTCAGTCTGCCAATCTAGAATGCAAATGGTTGAACTTCCCACTTAAACTGACAGTCTATTTGTTATTACATGTTACAAGTCTGGTGCTGACAGTGTTTGGAGAGCTGGTGTTTCTTAGGGCTCTGAGATTCCCCAGCTCAGGGTGTTTTCCCTGCCAGTGACACAAGGAAGAGTCTGCCTGATCACACAGCTTCTCTTGCTCCTCCCTTCTCCATGAGTTGCGGAATAAAGGAGTTGGGGGCAGAGGTGTGGGAGATGAGTGGGGAATCACAAAGGGCAGTGCTTGTTCAAGGTTCTCCTCTCTCCCTGGCAGAAAAGCCATGTGGATATGGCACCTTGGGACATGGTGGTGGCCTTGACAGTGAGGAAGGAATGGTTGGACTAGGTGATCTTAAGAGCTTTTCCAGGAGTCCATGATTTATCTCTGCATCTCTTCTACATGTATAATACAGATGGTGGCAGCCAGAAGTTCCTATGGTTCCTGTCCCCACCTTTTCACCTGTTTTGTATTTCTTAAAGAGCTGACAGAAACAGAACTGAAACATTAGGAAACCCCTTGATGAGAACACTGCCCCTCTCATGCCAGCCAAGCCCCGCTTGAGTGATGCCAGATAACTGTGTGCCATCACCCTCCTTGCTACCCAGAAAAACTGGATATCAAACTAAATGAATGACAGGAATATGAAACCCAGCCCAAATTTAATTTGGCAATTCCATAATCTCCCAGGTTTGAGCAGAAAGCAGTCATTTCTCTCCAGCAGTGCATCTCTTAAAGCAGAAATAAGGATTCAGAACACAAGCAGTGCTGCCTGCTCCAAAGCCAGCACTGTTCACGTGGCACCATCCTTGACAGATGCCCATGACCAAAGGGAAGGAATCGCTGCTGTGCCAGAGAGCTGCTTTGAGGCAGCACACCCTACTCCAACACCCCATGACCCTGTGGGAATTAAGGCATTCAAATGAGCTCCAAGTGCATAAAAAAGGTTAGATTCTGCTGTTGGATTTGTTTCATTTCAGCTACACTGAAAGCCATCAGGATTCACCTGGACCCCTTTATGGATATGGCATCACAAGAAACCCCCTTCTGTGCACAGCAATTTTCAGATCCTAAGTACAGAGTCTGTAGATGCAGAGCTAGGGTTATTGCTGATAAAATGCAGTTTCAGATCAGCAGCAGCTCTGCTAACTAACAGTCACATCTATCCATGCTCACTGCATGAGGACCTGGCTCAGGGGAGATCTGGGGGCAGGATCTGCCTTCCCCATGCTCTTCCCTCCCCACGGTCAGATAGGTTTGGGTTTGCTCACTGCAGCTTGACAGAATTTGTGAATTATGCTCACAGAAGGCCTGGGAGTGTCAGAATGTGTCGCCCGTGTCCTCGTGCTTGCCTAGAGCACGCATTTGTAAGGCAAATGTGGTGCCTCACTCTGGGTAATTTCCATTAATTCTTAAAAGGTTTTTCATGGGTTTGTTATTTTCCCAAACATCTGAATTTCAATTACAGCCTCCTTCTAGCATCCAGCAACCTCTGTCTGTGTGCTACTCCACCAGTAACAGCTTCTCTCTTCCCTCAGGGCCGCTGTATCAACTTCACCCGAGTTCCCTCTCAGTAGAGAAGAAGAAGCGGATACCAGGAGGAGAGACAGCCACATTGCCACTGTCCTACCCAGCTGAGAGAACCGAGCCCTTCCTCACATCCCTTGGACCATCTTGCAGCCCAAGCTCCAGAGGTTCCTGCATCCCTGCTCCGGGAGCCCGCACTCCAGCCGTGCACTGGTGCTCTGCCCGTGCCCCGGAGAGCAGCACTACCATGTGTGCCTGGCTCTGTGCGACACCAAAGGGACAGCACAGACACCAAAGATGAGAATGCTTTTCTATTTTTTGTTATTTGCTGTTTTTTTAAGGACTACAGATTCTCAGGACACAATGTGCTTTTAGTGGCAACGCAGCGTTCCTCAGCTGTGGTGGAGCCACGTGGTATTTACACAGGGACTACTCGCCACGGGCACAGGATAACCATTCCCACCAGGCTAAGCAGGCACAGAGCCAAGTGCCTCAGAGCCATGTCAGATCCCCAACCCTTGCCAGCTCCCTCCGTCGTGCCTTACGGGAACCTTCTGACTGGAAATCTTGTCACTCTAACACTGAAAAGTGCACACGCATGACAAAATGTAGACAGGATGCCTCGAGGTATCGGTAGCGAGCAAGACTTTGCCCTTTAGTTTTTGAAGACACCTTTCTTTCATTATGCACCCGGGACAGGAAGGAATTACTAGAGCGTTATTCAGCGGGAAGACAGCTTGTAAGCAGAGCTCTCGAGCCGAGTTGGAGGGACTGATGCTTCAAGACCTTGACACTGTGGCTGGTGGTTTTTCCCCTTTCCTGCATTCACAGTTCAGTAGCGCATAAAACATCATCATCTATAAACATACCTAGCAGTCGTAGGCTTGTGTATTTTTTTTTTTAGATTGAAAAAAGCAGTAGCCACTAAGCTGGTATCTCAGGGTTTTTTCCCCCCGCAAATCTCCAAGGGCTCTTCAGCGTCACAAGCCAGCAACCCTCTTTGCATGAGAATTTCAAAGTTTAATTAATATAATTAAAGGCAACAGCAAGCAGCAGCCTGTGAAGATTTTGCTCATCTTTTTTATGCCTTTTGACATTGAATGACCTATTACTGTATGTGCGTTCCTCAGTGGCGGAGGGGGCGCCAAGCGTTGGGTACGATTCCGCAGTGGGAAAGACCTCTTTCCATCAATTCGGAAATTCAATTTATGGGAGCGCCAGCCATCACCAAACATCGACAATGTATGTATTATAATTTTTTAGAAAAACCAGTGTCGTGTCACGTCGACGATGCCAAATTATGTTAGCGTGAGCGGAAACACTGTGGGGGAGGAAGGAGGGAGCAGCTGAAGAAAAAGGCTCAAATGATCCAGTCACTTTCGATACTGTACTTCAGAGGCAGAATGGATATTCGAGTCGAAACCTGACAAAGCGCGCCCGCTTTGATGGGAACTGGTATAGACAATGACCAGTGGCTGGGTCAGTGGGATGTCTCTCTGCGAGCAGGGAGGCTTATCAAATGACACTAAAAATAAGTTCAACAACCATCATGTTGGAGGGGAAAAGGCGAACATTTCACATTTGGTGGGCATGAATGTGTGCAAGATGGAAAGAGCAATGCGGAGCATCCTGGGCTAATTACCTCCTTTGTGCTCTTCATTGGAATCGCAAGGGACAGAAATAATTCTCTTGGTCCATGTCCAAATCCGTGGCACTGCCCAAAGATGCCTTTACATTTATCCACTTGCTTACATCTTCTGCTTGAGTTTATTTATGTCACTGGTAGCCTCATCAGCAACAGCCATGTCTGCACATTAGACTATAAATAAAATTATTATCTAAGTTTCAGTCATTATTTCCATCTTCTCCTCCCCCATAGCCTCCCCATCATTCCCAGAGCTCAGACCTCTGTTTTTGCAGCGCCATGGGGACCCATGGCAGCCCACTTTCCTTTGCACAGCGTGGCCAAGAAAGCTGCTACAGCCACACCCAGGGGCCCTGGCCGCCCAGGGCTGGGGAGAACCCTTCCAACGCTGCAAGGATGCTGCTCATGCCTTGTGGAGCATCAGCCATGCAACCAGAACCACTGAGTGCCTGCAGCGACGCCCTGTTGCTGCAGAACCAGCTTGGGTGGCGCTGGCCCTTGGCTGGGGATGTCGGACCCACAGAGCCCAACCAGCAAGCCCTTGGCTGAGCTGAAGCACCTGAGTAAATCTCTGTGCAGCCTCCAGCCCAATGCAAGACCAAGAGCGAATGCTAGGCAGGTGTGCCAGGACACAGGTGAGGTCCTGCAGTGCTCCTCAAGGTGCTGAGAGGGCACAGCTGAAAGCACTGAGCTCACCATATGCTAGGTTAAAACACTATCAGCTCCCTCTTACTTTTCCTTCATTTTCCACGTACACACGACACATTCCAAGGTATTGGAGCACTGGCTCATGTTCTGAGCTGCGCTGTGTAACAGGACAACATCCAGATGTAGAGGGTTTTTCACTCACATTTATCAGCTGCCTCTGAAAGAATATTTCTAACCAGCTGAGACACAGAAGTAGAAATCCACTGACCAGTTTTTGTCCTTTCTGCCTGTGCCCATTGAAACCGTGAAACAAGCAGCTCTTCACAGAAAGGCTGATCCCAAGCAAAACCGCATTTTGGGTCCCTACATGGATTTTCCCATTCAACTGGCACAATATCACAGCATGTTACACTTGGCATTTTGGTGCAGATACTACCTGAGAGTTTCCTTATTACACAGTGTGGAATGTCCGTCACAAATAATTTGGGAGGCAAGAGGCATAGGGTGATATAA